AAAAAAAAAAAAGAAAAAAAAAAAGAAAAAAAAAAAGGAAAATCAAAATTTTAAACAATTTAATTCACTTTTTTTCCTCTTCAGGAGTGACCATCACCTTATCCAATGTTTTGACAATCAGTCTGGAACTTCACACAAAAACCGCACCTCCCAACTTGAGGAGTACTCATGACACTGGCCATCATACATTCGCTGCATTCCAGCGCCGAGGAACAGACAATTTGCTGTCGTTCCCCCGTCCGGTTCATGGTTAGCCCACACCAAAGTAGACATTCCTGTACGTGAGGTGAGAAATGTCCACCTCCCATCATGACCTTCGTCCGAGGCACCAAGCATGGCATAGGTATAATCGTAACTGTGAGTGTGGACAAAATTAGCGAGGAAGTAAAATTCATGCCAGTCGTTAACTTCCGCCAAATATCCACCGTGAAGCTGACATAGGCGGTTTGCCTCAAAGACATAGACGGATGTTTTTTTAGAAAGTAAATAGTGGCGGCCACGATCGTTTGTCGACGCGTGAAGGAGGGGGGATATGGAGTCATCCACACGTTTTTTAAAGTCATTTAACTTTCTCTCCGTTTCTTTCTCCTTAACGTCCATTTCCGACATCTTCCTCTCCATTTCTTTCATCTTTGCGTCCCTTTCTTTGTCTTTTTCATCCGTTGCATTCATCGCTCTCTCCATTTTTTCCATCGTTGCGTCCATTACTTTCTCTTTTATATGCATTTCATTAATTTCTCTCTCCATTTCTTTCATCTTTGCGTCCCTTTCTTTATCTTTTTCGTCCGTTGCATTCATCGCTCTCTCCATTTCTTCCATCGTTGCATCCATTTCTGTCTCTTTTATGTCCGTTTCATTAAGTTCTCTCTCCGTTTCTTTCATATTTGCTTCCATCTTTTTAATCTTTGCGTTCATTTCTCTGTCGTTTATATCCGTTTCATTCATCTGCCTCTCCATCTCTTTCATCTTTCCACCCATTTCTTTATCCAAAATGTCCGTTTCATTAATCTTTTTCTCCATTTTTTTCATCTTTGCTTCCATTTCTGTGTCCTTCATATCGGTTGCATTCATCTTGATTTCCGTTTCTTTCAATTTGGAATCCACTTTCCCATCATTGGCTTCCATGGTATTCATCTTTGTGTTCATTTCTTTGTTTTTCATGTCCAGTGCATTCACTTTGGAGTCTATTTCTTTGTTCTTTCTGTCCAATTCGTTCATCCCGTCGCTCATCTCCTTCACCTTCCCTAGAATCGCGCTTGTGCCGGCTCTATCGGGGAAAAAAAACACACAAAAAGACGGATGAGAATAGCAAAGCAAAACAAACCCATATAAAACCCCCCCCC